AATAGCTATACGAAAATATGTTTTCGGACAATTAGTAACAATATTCACACGATTTTGTTGACGAGCTACTATTCTGGGAATTCTAATATTTTCTTCTCCGTCAATAGATTTTAAAAGAAGTTCAGTTTTTTCAAAAATGTCATTAAACGTATGATCAATATTTTCACGTAAATGAGTTAATTCGTTTAGTATTGTCTCGATATGTTGTACAGCTTCTACTAAGTCACAACTAACTGATTGTAAACTTTTACACAGTGGAAGTGTCATTGAAAACAGAGTATTTGATGTAACCATACTTAATATAAATTCACTAGTAACTATTGCTCGATAAAATTGAATTGATTTTGATGACGTATTGATGTCTTGAACTAATTGTAATTCTTCCAAAGTTTCAACAATGGGTTGAAAAATTTCAACAAATCTTTGAATTCCGTTGTGGTTTTCAACCCAACGAGTGTCACACATTGATGTCAGTTTAGTCCACTTGGTATTAGGTAAAATGTTTTTTATTTTAGTTTTTAATATTTTTGTCCGCATAGCCGAACTTTTAATGAAATTTCCAATAGATTTTATTGTACCAATACAATTTCTGACGTATTGAACATTGCACGAATGAGCTAGCGCTAAATTTAAAGAGTGCGCACTACAATGCACGTAAAGTGCTGCTGGATGACTTTCCCTTATAATAGTTTGGACGCCTTTAAGATTTCCACTCATGGACGCAGCGCCATCATAACCCTGACCGACCATATATTTATCGTTAATTCCAAGTGCTTGTAATGAATTTATTATTACAGAGGCTAGGTTTTGACCAGTAGTGCTGTGAACCGGTACAAATTGTAAAAAGTCTTCACGTAAAACATAATTAATAGTATTAGTTGTCTCTACTGAATCTATATATCTAATACAAAGAGTCAATTGTTCTATGCGTGATATGTCGGTAGTTTCGTCAACGAGAACCGAAAACGACTTCGCTGCATTAATTTTACAAACTAAATTATCTTGAATTATTTTCCCACAAATCTTAATTAAATTATTTTGTATACTAGGACTTATGTATATAGCGTTTAAAGACTGATTTTCAATATGATTAATTAATTGTTTGTCTCCGCATGAAATTCGCATACGCAACAGTGCTCTTAAATTACCATCATTATGATCAGGTTCAACAATATTTAAATCAAGAGGACCCGAATCATTTCGCCCTCGAAGTGCTAACTCTTGTCGGCCACATAAAATAATTGTTTTTATAATTGGAACGAGTTTTTTTCTATTTTCATAAATTTGTAGAGCTCTTGCGGAATCGAGTTGTTGTCGAATATCTGGTTGAAGTTTGGTATACGTGTTAATAAAATTTTCACCAAATATTACACTATTTTTATGAAACTGTGTTGTGCTATGATGGGATAAAGTTTCAATAGCTTTTTTCCAATTATTAAATGGCTTATTAACTAAGATTCCTAATTGTTGATGATTTCCCTTTCCTCCGAAATCCCTGGCAAATAAAACACAAAACGTGCACATTGCTCCTTGTTCGCCTATTGTTGTGTAAGCA